CTTCATTTGCCCAACCCAACTCAGGCCAGGCTGGGATGGGCAACAAACCCAGCAGAGTTCAATTGAGAGGAGGCAAGATTTCTGGCTAGCTACCCAGTAGATGTACCAAGGTGTCATATTTATTATAACTGTAGCCTAGTCTTGGAACTGTTCTTATGCCACACTGAACTCTGAATGTTATGATAACACCCAAAAGGGATTAGATGATATGTTCACATCTAATCCCACTTGAGAGAAGTAACACATTCCCATGGAGCAGTAAGGTATCCCATGGTCCAAAAGGGAAGAAAATCATCAACTTCAAACATCAAACTGAATAGTTTTCAGAGCTGCAGCTGAAGAATAGGTTTAAAAAATTTCAAAAGCTGTGGCCTAGCTTCTTTGATGGTATATACATTCCACAAGCAACAGGCTAAAATTAAAACCCTGACTCAGTAAAAGATATTAAATTTTCACAGGGTCAAACTGAATTAGCTGGCAGCATGGAAAAACTTGTAAATATTGTAGACTTGAATACCTAAACCAATGCAAAATCCCTTTGAGCAATAGAATGCAGCAAAAGGTAATCAGTATATGTGTGAAAGTAAAGAAATTGCAATGTGAGAATTCAACAGTGAAAACTTTCAATGGTAGTTGATCCGGCTATAAGTTTAAGCATGTCACTATGCATATGCTTAAAATGAACAGCCAGGCTGTGGTGCTGATATATAAAGCATACCTAATTTTAAGAATATTTTTGGCTACATAATTGAGCAGGCATTGAATGATTATGTAACTAGACTTTTTGAGAAAGAGTACAACAAAGAACCTTCCTATCACTTTAAAGAAGAGTTGTCCACATTTTAAAAAAGTCAAGAAATATCACACACTTCACTGTGAAAGGCCTGAAATAAAAATTTCAGTGTGTGATGAAATTTTTGAAGACTTTTTTTTCATAGAGTGAAAAATCTTATTTCTCCAAATCTTCTTTCAACAAACCAGCCGTATTCCACCGAGGCGGGGTGGCCCAAAACAAAAAAAGAAAATTTCTCCTTCTAAATGTAATAATACATACAGGAGAAGGGGTTACTAGCCCCTTGCTCCTGGCATTGTAGTCACCTCTTATGACATGCATGGATTTATCTAAATAGAACTACAAAAAGAAAATTGAAATCAAAAGGAAAACTTAATGTTTTAAGGTGTGTTGAAGTGGTGAAAAATTATATTTATGTTTTCTAATTCATTTACACCAAATAATGATTCCTTTTTAATTTTGTTTTTCATTCATTGTCTAACACTATATATACTACTTTGTTAGGATAATAGGTGCTTTGGTACTTGAAACACATGGAGATGCATAGCCAGCTATAACCCCAATTTGCATATTCACTATAAATTTATATAAATAATTGCTTTTTCTAATTTCTATAAACTTCATGTACACAGAAGTCTTGTAATATTACAGTTCTTTCAAGGTGTGATACTTCTCAAGTTATGGAAATAATTTACATGGTTTGACTATTTGTTATACTAGGTTAATAAATATTCAAATGGAAGTGTGGTTTTTGGCTGAATTCCACTGTTAGTATTATGAAATTGTAAAAAATCTGGAACAAATAAGGCATCTTCCTGCTAGTTCTACATTTGCTAGCAGGGAAGCTGGTCATGGCACAACTCCTGACTGTTGTTATTCTAGTTTACATGTATCACTGAGGCAGTGTTTGCCCAAGATGCACTACATAGACCCACTTTGTCCTTGATTGTTTCCCAGGTGTCAGGTGATAGGCAACCCAAGCAACTGAGCCAAGACCTAAAATGGCAGAAGGCAGCATATTTGAAGGCATAACTGCATGACATATATAGGGCACAACTTGGTCCTTGACTTACAGCATGCATAGACACAGTTTAAGGGTTAAGTAACACACACACACACATTTTGGGACTAACCCCAAATGTTCAGCAAGATCTGCCAGGGAGATGGCTTATGTGTTAAAAAAAAAAAAGACTTAAAGGACTACTTGCTTGTGTAGGTGCCTACTGCCTTTTTTCTCAAGTCTCACTGATGTTCATCAGTCTAAAATGATGAGGATTTCTCCTTTAAATATAAACACAGCCACAAACAATGCTACCAAAAAATCTTATATGATAGAGACACATAAAATAGGTTCATTAAGTTTTAAATTGGGCACACATACAGTATATTATTAAAAAATACAATGAATAAAATTGCTTTAATTATCAAATGTCTTAAAACATATCCCTTTTTCAAATATTCATGGACTCATTATTCTCAGAATGATGTAGGTGGCACTCATCTTCATGAAACAAAAATACATAAATTAGTAATATCACAAGTTTCAGCAGAGGAGGATGGTGAATTCAGGGAAGCTCGTAGGGCAAGTAGCATAAGCTTAATCAACTATGAGAGTTGAGCAACCATTTGTTTTGTGTTGGCATACTGCAGAACTGATGACAGGAAACCCATACTCTGATGCATGTAGTGTTTCCCACTGGCTGCCTGTAAACCAATGAGAACAAATATAAATTCTCTTCTATGAATATACAGTACCTCTGACTAGTTTAAAGGGCTATTCTACCCTTGCAATCCAACATGAGTCAGACTTTTCTGCCTACTACCTTAACCTGCTTACCACAAGTGGCCAGTAAATCTACATAAATATCAAGCCTGGCTACTCTGCCACTTGTTGTAGGAAATACATATTTTTTTTTTTTTCAACAAGTCGGCCGTGTCCCACCGAGGCAGGGTGACCCAAAAAAGAAAGAAAATCCCCAAAAAGAAAATACTTTCATCATCATTCAACACTTTCACCACATTCGCACATTATCACTGTTTTGCAGAGTGCTCAGAATATAACAGTTTAGAAGCATACACATATAAAGATACACAACATATCCCTCCAAACTGCCAAAATCCCAAACCTCTCCTTTAAAGTGCAGGCATTGTACTTCCCATTTCCAGGACTCAAGTCCGACTATATGAAAATAACCGGTTTCCCTGAATCCCTTCACTAAATATTACCCTGCTCACACTCCAACAGATCGTCAGGTCCCAAGTACCATTCGTCTCCATTCACTCCTATCTAATACGCTCACGCACGCTTGCTGGAAGTCCAAGCCCCTTGCCCACAAAACCTCCTTTACCCCCTCTCCCCAACCCTTTCGAGGACGACCCCTACCCCGCCTTCCTTCCCCTATAGATTTATATGCTTTCCATGTCATTCTACTTTGATCCATTCTCTCTAAATGACCAAACCACCTCAACAACCCCTCTTCTGCCCTCTGACTAATACTTTTATTAACTCCACACCTTTTCCTAATTTCCACACTCCGAATTTTCTGCATAATATTTACACCACACATTGCCCTTAAACAGGACATCTCCACGTGCCTCCAACCATCTCCTCGCTGCTGCATTTACCACCCAAGCTTCACACCCATATAAGAGTGTTGGTACTACTATACTTTCATACATTCCCTTCTTTGCCTCTATAGATAACGTTTTTTGACTCCACATATACCTCAATGCACCACTCACCTTTTTTCCCTCATCAATTCTATGATTAACCTCATCCTTCATAAATCCATCCGCCGACACGTCAACTCCCAAGTATCTGAAAACATTCACTTCTTCCATACTCCTCCTCCCCAATTTGATATCCAATTTTTCTTTATCTAAATCATTTGACACCCTCATCACCTTACTCTTTTCTATGTTCACTTCAACTTTCTACCTTTACACACATTCCCAAACTCATCCACTAACCTTTGCAATTTTTCTTTAGAATCTCCCATAAGCACAGTACATCAGCAAAAAGTAACTGTGTCAATTCCCATTTTGAATTTGATTCCCCCAAAATTTAATCCCACCCCTCTCCCGAACACCCTAGCATTTACTTCCTTTACAACCCCATCTATAAATATATTAAACAACCATGGTGACATTACACATCCCTGTCTAAGACCTACTTTTACCGGGAAGTAGTCTCCCTCTCTTCTACACACCCTAACCTGAGCCTCACTATCCTCATAAAAACTCTTTACAGCATTTAATAACTTACCACCTATTCCATATACTTGCAAAAATCTGCCACATTGCTCCTCTATGCACTCTATCATATGCCTTTTCTAAATCCATAAATGCAATAAAAACTTCCCTACCTTTATCTAAATACTGTTCACATATATGCTTCAATGTAAACACTTGATCTACACATCCCTACCCACTCTGAAACCTCCTTGCTCATCCGCAAACCTACATTCTGTCTTACCTCTAATTCTTTCAATTATAACCTACCGTACACTTTTCCTGGTATACTCAGTAAACTTATTCCTCTATAATTTTTTACAGTCTCTTTTGTCCCCTTTCCCTTTATATAAAGGGACTTTTACATGCTCTCCCGCCAATCCCTAGGTACCTTCCCCTCTTTCATACATTATTAAACAAAAGTAAACCCAAACCCCTCCAACACTATATCCCCCCTGCTTTTAACATTTTCTGTCATGATCCCATCAGTTCCAGCTGCTTTACCTCCTTTTCATTTTACGTAATGCCTCACGCACCTCCCCCACACTTACATTCTGCTCTTCCTCACTCCTAAAAGATGGTATACCTCCCTGACCATGCATGAAATTACTGCCTCTGTTTCTTCCTTAACATTTAAAAGTTCCTCAAAATATTCTCGCCATCTACCTAATACCTCCATCTCCCCATCTACTAACTCCCCTACTCTGTTTTTAACTGACAAATCCATACTTTCCCTAGGCTTTCTTAACTTGTTTAACTCACCAAAATTTTTTCTTATTTTTATTAAAAATTTTTGACAGTGCCTCCCCACTCATCATCTGCTTCCTTTTGCACTCTCTCACCACCTCTTTACCCTGATACACTAATCAGGCATAAGCAAAACAGAAAAAAAAGCACATCAGGAAATTGAAGGAGAGATTGAAAAGAAAATTGGTACATTTTCCAAGAGGGTAATCAACATTAATTCAAAGACACCTGAAGGAAGTCAACTTTATTGAAGTGTCTTAGAATTATCATGTTCTCTAAGAAATGAAGTTACTGTATTTCTCAATAGATGACAGACTGTTGGCACAACCTGACAGGTCTTGCAGAGTGGTACAGGGCACCCCTCCATGATATGGCCCTGGGCGAGTCTGGCTAGTCCAACACGCAACCACAGCCACTACAGCAAGGATTGCTGGAAGTTCTGGCATAGATTTTACAGAAAACAGTTTGACTGACTCTGCAGACTAATGACAATGCCAGTTATCCTGTATGTGCTGGGTGAAAACTGAGTAAAGCAGAAGGCTGAAAAGAGGAGCTGTTTGCAAGTGAGAGAGGTCTCTGAATCAATAAACATGCATGGGGTTTGTAAGTTCATTGCCTGGAGTGCTCGAAGCACCATGTACCTAATTATAAATGCATTAAACAGCCATGATGACATCAATTAATCAATCTTAAACCCTACCTATTTTAAACATAATTTGAAAGATGTTTTACTTTTGCTTACTGTTATATACTAGTTTATGGTTATGTTTGATGTGACTCGCTAATATATATATAGCAATATACTATTATAGTGACAGTACAATATAGTACAAGGAAATGGGTCAAAGGAGAGCAACCGGTCATCTGCCTGAAGTACAATAAATGGTTCTCAAGGGTTAACTTTCCAACTAATTTTTCTGGCATTTTTCAATTTTATTGTGTATTACAAAATTATGTTATTTTCTTTTAAGGGATATATATTTTTTCCTTTCATTTGTGTACTTTTATTAAAATTCTTCTACATAACCCTTCCCCATTTAGGAATGAAACAAGTGTACAACTTCTACAGTTCAGTCCCCTAGCATATACAGTGTCTGGCAAGTTATTCAAAATGTCCATCTTCACTGTTCTATGAAAAATGGATTTCACTGGTTATCACTGTTTTACAGGAATATGGAAATCACTAAAAATTAAAATGACAACCCAACCAAGTATTTTTATATTTCTTTTATTCTCCAGTAAGTGAAGGCTTGGAGGTGGTCCTTGTTGCTAACAATAAATGTATTAAGGGATCGGATTATTATTCATTACGTTGTTTTTTTTTTTTCAACAAGTCGGCCGTCTCCCACCGAGGCAGGGTGACCCAAAAAAAGAAAGAAAATACTTTCATCATCATTCAACACTTTCACCTCACTCACACATAATCACTGTTTTTGCAGAGGTGCTCAGAACACAACAGTTTAGAAGCATATACGTATAAAGATACACAACATATCCCTCCAAACTGCTAATATCCCAAAACCCTTCCTTTAGAGTACAGGCATTGTACTTCCCATTTCCAGGACTCAAGTCCGGCTATATAAAAATAACTGGTTTCCCTGAATCCCTTCACTAAATATTACCCTGCTCACACTCCAACAGATTGTCAGGTCCCAAATACCATTCATCTCCATTCACTCCTATCGAACACGCTCATGCACGCTTGCTGGAAGTCCAAGCCCCTCGCCCATAAACCCTCCCTTACCCCTTCCTTCCTTCAGTACATATTGTCATTTAATATTTAATTTTTTTTAGTGTTTAATTATATTTTAACCCTTAAACGGTCCAAGGAGATCGACGTTCAAATTCGTAGTGCTACAAAAGTAGATCTACTTTTTTTTACATATTTTCAAATATAAAAAAAAAAATGTAGATAAAAGTTTTTTACACGTTTTCAAATGTAAAACAAAAAAGAAGATCTACAATTTTTTTACATACTTTCAGATGTTGAAAAAACGTATATATACGTTTGGACCATTTAAGGGTTAATGTTACCTGTAACATATTTAATGACACATTTCTCTTTAATCCTTTGTCTTCCTAATATTCCAAAATTATTATTATATTCAAAAGCAAACACTAAACCCATAAGTCATAAGGACCTGAAGAATGGAAAGTAGTCAGGTTTGATCCAAGGAAGTTGAAGGTAGTTCCAGTTCCTTGAATCAAGAGTCCTTCACTGGCATCATAGCAAGAAGTGGGGGTGCCAAGTCATATTCTAAAACAAATGAAAAAATTAAAAGACTGACTATTACTTAATATAATCCCTCAGGCCCGAAGGTAATATTCCACTTGGAATATAATTAGTAGTAAAGTTAGTCTGAGAGACTAACTCCATTTGTAGTTAGCCTAAAATTTATTATTAGTAGTAGCACAGTAGTATTAGTATTTTTTTTTTTTTCCAACAAGTCGGCCGTCTCCCACTAATACAGCACCTACAGAATGAGAGGTAACCAGGCATGATCCAAGAAAAGCAAAGGTAGCTCCAATCCCTTTGATTAAGAATTCTTTGTTAGCATTATAGCCCCTTTACACTCTTACAGGAACTTAAAGTGAATAAGCTTACTATTAGGTGACTGAAGCAAGAAGTGTTGGTGATATCATTATCTTAGTGCATTCCACTTTCACACTAATTTCCTGATTAATTCTGAAATTATAAAGTAAAAAGTGATTTGAAATTAAAACTGGCATGTTGGTGATCAATTTTATTACAAGGCCTGTAATAAAATATATATATAAAAAAAGGTTGACATATCACTCTGAGTTATTGCTTTCAAAACAGTAAAATATGTGGAATGTATATATTTTCTAAATAAGCAGACATATCCCACCAATCAGTTCATCTCCAAGAGTTACCCTGTTGTATTTTAGGCACTTTAATTTGGAAGTCCCAATTGTAATGATTAATTTTCTATCTTTATGAATACTTCATTTGCCCAACCCAACTCAGGCCAGGCTGGGATGGGCAACAAACCCAGCAGAGTTCAATTGAGAGGAGGCAAGATTTCTGGCTAGCTACCCAGTAGATGTACCAAGGTGTCATATTTATTATAACTGTAGCCTAGTCTTGGAACTGTTCTTATGCCACACTGAACTCTGAATGTTATGATAACACCCAAAAGGGATTAGATGATATGTTCACATCTAATCCCACTTGAGAGAAGTAACACATTCCCATGGAGCAGTAAGGTATCCCATGGTCCAAAAGGGAAGAAAATCATCAACTTCAAACATCAAACTGAATAGTTTTCAGAGCTGCAGCTGAAGAATAGGTTTAAAAAATTTCAAAAGCTGTGGCCTAGCTTCTTTGATGGTATATACATTCCACAAGCAACAGGCTAAAATTAAAACCCTGACTCAGTAAAAGATATTAAATTTTCACAGGGTCAAACTGAATTAGCTGGCAGCATGGAAAAACTTGTAAATATTGTAGACTTGAATACCTAAACCAATGCAAAATCCCTTTGAGCAATAGAATGCAGCAAAAGGTAATCAGTATATGTGTGAAAGTAAAGAAATTGCAATGTGAGAATTCAACAGTGAAAACTTTCAATGGTAGTTGATCCGGCTATAAGTTTAAGCATGTCACTATGCATATGCTTAAAATGAACAGCCAGGCTGTGGTGCTGATATATAAAGCATACCTAATTTTAAGAATATTTTTGGCTACATAATTGAGCAGGCATTGAATGATTATGTAACTAGACTTTTTGAGAAAGAGTACAACAAAGAACCTTCCTATCACTTTAAAGAAGAGTTGTCCACATTTTAAAAAAGTCAAGAAATATCACACACTTCACTGTGAAAGGCCTGAAATAAAAATTTCAGTGTGTGATGAAATTTTTGAAGACTTTTTTTTCATAGAGTGAAAAATCTTATTTCTCCAAATCTTCTTTCAACAAACCAGCCGTATTCCACCGAGGCGGGGTGGCCCAAAACAAAAAAAGAAAATTTCTCCTTCTAAATGTAATAATACATACAGGAGAAGGGGTTACTAGCCCCTTGCTCCTGGCATTGTAGTCACCTCTTATGACATGCATGGATTTATCTAAATAGAACTACAAAAAGAAAATTGAAATCAAAAGGAAAACTTAATGTTTTAAGGTGTGTTGAAGGTGGTGAAAAATTATATTTATGTTTTCTAATTCATTTACACCAAATAATGATTCCTTTTTAATTTTGTTTTTCATTCATTGTCTAACACTATATATACTACTTTGTTAGGATAATAGGTGCTTTGGTACTTGAAACACATGGAGATGCATAGCCAGCTATAACCCCAATTTGCATATTCACTATAAATTTATATAAATAATTGCTTTTTCTAATTTCTATAAACTTCATGTACACAGAAGTCTTGTAATATTACAGTTCTTTCAAGGTGTGATACTTCTCAAGTTATGGAAATAATTTACATGGTTTGACTATTTTGTTATACTAGGTTAATAAATATTCAAATGGAAGTGTGGTTTTTGGCTGAATTCCACTGTTAGTATTATGAAATTGTAAAAAATCTGGAACAAATAAGGCATCTTCCTGCTAGTTCTACATTTGCTAGCAGGGAAGCTGGTCATGGCACAACTCCTGACTGTTGTTATTCTAGTTTACATGTATCACTGAGGCAGTGTTGCCCAAGATGCACTACATAGACCCACTTTGTCCTTGATTGTTTCCCAGGTGTCAGGTGATAGGCAACCCAAGCAACTGAGCCAAGACCTAAAATGGCAGAAGGCAGCATATTTGAAGGCATAACTGCATGACATATATAGGGCACAACTTGGTCCTTGACTTACAGCATGCATAGACACAGTTTAAGGGTTAAGTAACACACACACACACATTTTGGGACTAACCCCAAATGTTCAGCAAGATCTGCCAGGGAGATGGCTTATGTGTTAAAAAAAAAAAAGACTTAAAGGACTACTTGCTTGTGTAGGTGCCTACTGCCTTATTCTCAAGTCTCACTGATGTTCATCAGTCTAAAAATGATGAGGACTTCTCCTTTAAATATAAACACAGCCACAAACAATGCTACCAAAAAATCTTATATGATAGAGACACATAAATAGGTTCATTAAGTTTTAAATTAGGCACACATACAGTATATTATTAAAAAATACAATGAATAAAATTGCTTTAATTATCAAATGTCTTAAAACATATCCCTGTTTCAAATATTCATGGACTCATTATTCTCTAGGAATGATGTAGGTGGCACTCATCTTCATGAAACAATATACATAAATTAGTAATATCACAAGTTTCAGCAGAGGAGGATGGTGAATTCAGGGAAGCTCGTAGGGCAAGTAGCATAAGCTTAATCAACTATGAGAGTTGAGCAACCATTTGTTTTGTGTTGGCATACTGCAGAACTGATGACAGGAAACCCATACTCTGATGCATGTAGTGTTTCCCACTGGCTGCCTGTAAACCAATGAGAACAAATATAAATTCTCTTCTATGATATACAGTACCTCTGACTAGTTTAAAGGGCTATTCTACCCTTGCAATCCAACATGAGTCAGACTTTTCTGCCTACTACCTTAACCTGCTTACCACAAGTGGCCAGTAAATCTACATAAATATCAAGCCTGGCTACTCTGCCACTTGTTGTAGGAAATACATATTTTTTTTTTTTTCAACAAGTCGGCCGTGTCCCACCGAGGCAGGGTGACCCAAAAAAGAAAGAAAATCCCCAAAAAGAAAATACTTTCATCATCATTCAACACTTTCACCACATTCGCACATTATCACTGTTTTTGCAGAGGTGCTCAGAATATAACAGTTTAGAAGCATACACATATAAAGATACACAACATATCCCTCCAAACTGCCAAAATCCCAAACCTCTCCTTTAAAGTGCAGGCATTGTACTTCCCATTTCCAGGACTCAAGTCCGACTATATGAAAATAACCGGTTTCCCTGAATCCCTTCACTAAATATTACCCTGCTCACACTCCAACAGATCGTCAGGTCCCAAGTACCATTCGTCTCCATTCACTCCTATCTAATACGCTCACGCACGCTTGCTGGAAGTCCAAGCCCCTTGCCCACAAAACCTCCTTTACCCCCTCTCCCCAACCCTTTCGAGGACGACCCCTACCCCGCCTTCCTTCCCCTATAGATTTATATGCTTTCCATGTCATTCTACTTTGATCCATTCTCTCTAAATGACCAAACCACCTCAACAACCCCTCTTCTGCCCTCTGACTAATACTTTTATTAACTCCACACCTTTTCCTAATTTCCACACTCCGAATTTTCTGCATAATATTTACACCACACATTGCCCTTAAACAGGACATCTCCACTGCCTCCAACCATCTCCTCGCTGCTGCATTTACCACCCAAGCTTCACACCCATATAAGAGTGTTGGTACTACTATACTTTCATACATTCCCTTCTTTGCCTCTATAGATAACGTTTTTTGACTCCACATATACCTCAATGCACCACTCACCTTTTTTCCCTCATCAATTCTATGATTAACCTCATCCTTCATAAATCCATCCGCCGACACGTCAACTCCCAAGTATCTGAAAACATTCACTTCTTCCATACTCCTCCTCCCCAATTTGATATCCAATTTTTCTTTATCTAAATCATTTGACACCCTCATCACCTTACTCTTTTCTATGTTCACTTTCAACTTTCTACCTTTACACACATTCCCAAACTCATCCACTAACCTTTGCAATTTTTCTTTAGAATCTCCCATAAGCACAGTATCATCAGCAAAAAGTAACTGTGTCAATTCCCATTTTGAATTTGATTCCCCAAAATTTAATCCCACCCCTCTCCCGAACACCCTAGCATTTACTTCCTTTACAACCCCATCTATAAATATATTAAACAACCATGGTGACATTACACATCCCTGTCTAAGACCTACTTTTACCGGGAAGTAGTCTCCCTCTCTTCTACACACCCTAACCTGAGCCTCACTATCCTCATAAAAACTCTTTACAGCATTTAATAACTTACCACCTATTCCATATACTTGCAACATCTGCCACATTGCTCCTCTATGCACTCTATCATATGCCTTTTCTAAATCCATAAATGCAATAAAAACTTCCCTACCTTTATCTAAATACTGTTCACATATATGCTTCAATGTAAACACTTGATCTACACATCCCCTACCCACTCTGAAACCTCCTTGCTCATCCGCAATCCTACATTCTGTCTTACCTCTAATTCTTTCAATTATAACCCTACCGTACACTTTTCCTGGTATACTCAGTAAACTTATTCCTCTATAATTTTTACAGTCTCTTTTGTCCCCTTTCCCTTTATATAAAGGGACTATACATGCTCTCCGCCAATCCCTAGGTACCTTCCCCTCTTTCATACATTTATTAAACAAAAGTACCAACCACTCCAACACTATATCCCCCCTGCTTTTAACATTTCTGTCATGATCCCATCAGTTCCAGCTGCTTTACCTCCTTTCATTTTACGTAATGCCTCACGCACCTCCCCCACACTTACATTCTGCTCTTCCTCACTCCTAAAAGATGGTATACCTCCCTGACCAGTGCATGAAATTACTGCCTCTGTTTCTTCCTTAACATTTAAAAGTTCCTCAAAATATTCTCGCCATCTACCTAATACCTCCATCTCCCCATCTACTAACTCCCCTACTCTGTTTTTAACTGACAAATCCATACTTTCCCTAGGCTTTCTTAACTTGTTTAACTCACTCCAAAATTTTTTCTTATTTTCATTAAAATTTCTTGACAGTGCCTCTCCCACTCTATCATCTGCTCTCCTTTTGCACTCTCTCACCACTCTCTTTACCTTTCTTTTACTCTCCATATACTCTGCTCTTCTTATAACACTTCTGCTTTGTAAAAACCTCTCATAAGCTACCTTTTTCTCTTTTATCACACCCTTTACTTCATCATTCCACCAATCACTCCTCTTTCCTCCTGCCCCCTCCCTCCTATAACCACAAACTTCTGCCCCACATTCTAATACTGCATTTTTAAAACTATTCCAACCCTCTTCAACCCCCACACTACTCATCTTTGCACTAGCCCACCTTTCTGCCAATAGTCGCTTATATCTCGCCCGAACTTCCTCCTCCCTTAGTTTATACACTTTCACCTCCCTCTTACTTGTTGTTGCCACCTTCCTCTTTTCCCATCTACCTCTTACTCTAACTGTAGCTACAACTAAATAATGATCCGATATATCAGTTGCCCCTCTATAAACATGTACATCCTGGAGTCTACCCATCAACCTTTTATCCACCAATACATAATCTAATAAACTACTTTCATTACGTGCTACATCATACATTCATATATTCATATATTCATATGAATAGTGGAAAAAAAAATTATAAAATGTGTGCAAAGAAAATGCACATCTCTGACACCAGCTTTGATAGTTTTATTCCTTCTTGTTTAAACTTAAGTTTATATGAGTTCATGTGAACATGTTAAACAGAGGTAAACAGAGACTAGTGGGTTTAATGGATGTGCTATTGGAGTGTGAACAAGGTAAAATTTCAGGAAAACTGATTAGTTGGACGTGAGTCCTGATAGTGAGAAGAGCAGTTTCCTGAAGGATGGGCAGGAATGTTGCAGTCGGAAGGTAATCTCCAGTGACGTCAGCACACTACTGATAAGACAGCAACTGAATGAATGATAGTAAGTTTCCTTCTTTGGGTCATCCTGACTAGGTGGGAAATCAAGACACCATCCTGGGTTGCCCAGGCTCAGATTGAAAATATTAACAAGATTTAAAAGTGGAATCTGTCTACCCATAGCCTACTGTGCTCAAGAAATACTTCTGTGATGAAGATAACAGATAAGGATAATAAAGATAAGCAAAGCTACTGGCAGGTCTGACTAGGAAGTTACCACTATGAAATGAAACAGTACTACATAAAGTAAGGATGTAAATGCATGGAACAAATGCTGGTCATGTGGAAGTAGTTACAAAGTGTGTTAAGATTAAGAATTTTTCTATTTGTGATTACATTTTCATGGTCGAAATTAGCCTAAATCCAAGATTAAAAAAATCACAGAAAAAACAAACAAAACCAAATTTTTATTTTCAAAATGTACATATTATTATAAGAGGGAAGCTACAAATCCACAAGGGTCTATCATCCACCTCATAAAATGGGAGGAAATCCAGTCTGATCCAAGGAATGGGAGGATAGATACAATTCAATAAATTAAGAGCCCCCTCACCAACTAAAAACTATATGGGCCATACACCACTTGGGAAGTAAGAGGCAATCAAATTCAATCCAAAAAAGAGGGGGTAGCAGGAATTCATTGATTCATTGGATCAAGGGTCCTCCTAAAGGGCTCTTGATCCAATGTCTACTCCTTGTCCTCGATCCAATGTGTATTCTTTCCATGATTTCAATGTCTATTCCTTAGTTACCCTTGCAGGGTAACTAAGGAATAGACACTTAAAACCCTTGTTTAACTTGCCTGCAAGTAGATATTGGTGATTGTATTATTAATCTGAGGGTCAGCAGCCGAGGATCCTGCTGTGATGGCACCACAGACTTGGTCTGCAATGTTTTCAATGCCTCCACACACACTATTAATCAGCCTGGAATGTGATAACAAATTTATTAGAGAACTAGTTGGAAAAACTTTAAGGAAAATATTAATACCCATTAATTAAAATTAGCATAAATATATAGAGGTACAAGAGGTACAGGCATGTACATACACATATGAAAAATTTACAACCAACCCACAAATTGGCGGTAAAAACTAGACAACATTTTGGTCCATCCTAGACTATTATCAAGCTCCTTGAGACTTGATAAACGTAAAGGATGGACCAAACTGTTGTCTGGTGCTTATCTTCAGTTTGCTAGCTAGTTGTGACTTTTTCTAGCCATGGTATTGACTTCTATTCTTCGTGTAAAAACAATGTGAGCACTTGTGTGCAATGTGGAGGTATGCTACTTAATCAAATGAATCAACTCTCTGACAAATGTATTATAAAGTAGCTTCAATCAGTACATATTAAGTGTCTTAATTCCACTAACAAAGTCAATTTAAATCACAGAATGGGTGGGGCTTGAACCCATGGCAAAAAAAAAAAAAAAAAAAAAAAAAAAAAAAAAAAAAAAAAAAAAAAAAAAACTCGCATACCAGTGTGCTAACCATTGGTCTATGCCAGCCTAATAAAATACACCCAACTAGGTATTTACCTATAGTGTATAGAAATACACCTATATGGATGAATCTTGTTAGGCCAACAAAGACCAGTTAGCAAACTGGCCTCAGTTTTATGACTCGCTTGTCATAGGTTCAAGCCTCACTTGTTCTGTAATCTACTCGCATATACATTCTTTATATATTCAATACAGCCTCTCCTCACTAAGTGATGTACTTGTTTACTGATGCCTCAGACTTACAAAGGGCTGTGTTATTTGTATGTACTTAATACCCCTCAAAAAACACATACAACGTTTATTGCCCCCTGTAGTCTTAAGTTAGGCGCCTGCCCGAAATGCTCTGCATAACCATGGGCTTTATGAATACTACATTCAAAGGTCACCTATTCCTGTATAAGCAATGCATTATGTGGAATTAATAGTGAATTTGAATTTCTTTGCAATCTTGTTATTACGATTTCCTGAATAAAATTAAAAGCCCAGGTCCTCTCCATACCTCAAAAGATACAGCAACCTAATTTCCTTACTCTCTGAAGTGTTCAGCTAGTATTAAAGGACCATCTTGAGGAGAAATGAGAGATAACTCTGCTCCCTTGTGAGCAACAGCTGATATCTGCACCACTAAGCCAGCTAGTGCTGTAAATAATTCACGCTCAGCAGTTGGTCCATCAATCAATCCAGCCTCCTGGATAACTGAAGCAGTTTCCACAACTGATGACCAAGCCTGTTGAGTTGGGATAAAGAAAATCAGGGCACGTATGCAAAGTACGAGTCACAATACATTAAAAACATAATGGTAAAAGAAATGTTGATTTTTATATTCCGATGCCTGACATCCTGTTTAGAGGATGCTAAAGAGGTTTCATTAAGAGCAGTTTATACAAAGAATAGACAAAACTATTAATGTGTATATTATTCAACTATTTAAATTGACTATTGAAGCCATATTCAATTAACAATAATTCTTCTTCTTCTTCTTTCAACAAACCAGCCATATCCCACCAAGGCAGGGTGGCTCAAAAAGAAAAGTGAAAGTTTCTCTATTTAAATTTAGTAATTTATACAGGAGAAGGGGTTACTAGCCCCTTGCTCCCGGCATTTTAGTCGCCTCTTACAACACGCATGGCTTACAGAGGAAGAATTCTGTTCCCATGGAGACAAGAGGAAATAAACAAGAACAAGAACTAGAAAGAAAATAGAAGAAAACCCAGAGGGGTGTGTATATATATGCTTGTACATGTATGTGTAGTGTGACCTAAGTGTAAGTAGAAGTAGCAAGACATATCTGAAATCTTGTATGTTTATGAGACAGACAAAAGACACCAGCAATCCTACCATCATGTAAAACAATTACAGGCTTTCGTTTTACACTCACTTGGCAGGACGGTAGTACCTCCCTGGGTGGTTGCTATCTACCAACCTACTACCTAGGTAACAATAATTATTATAAATAAATGTCAATCATCTTGTCTCGTTAACTTTGTGTAGTGCTCAAGAGTACATTCAAAGTATAGTAAGTATAGGAAGTATGATAACTGATGCACGCATGAACAAAGATCACTTACTACTCTCAGGTGACTTCAATATAAATCTCCTGCAAGACCAGGACCCACATGTTACTGAATTCACAAACACAATGAGTAACTGCATGTTGCTACCAACAGTAACAAAACCTACAAGAGTTACAGAGACTAGTGTTTCCCTACTTGACCACATCTGGACCAACACCATATCCCCTTTAAAATCAGGCATAATTACAGATAATACCACAGACCACTACCCTACTTTCCTCATAACAACTCTTGGTAAATTACCCCAAGACACTACTAAAGTCACCTTCAGACTTCACAATGAGGCAGCCATTAATAACTTCACAACAGCAGTAACAAACATTGACTGGCACACTGAGCTAGAAATCTATATAGATATTGACGAATGTATTAATAATTTTCTAAAAAAGACCCAATACCTCTAAAACAAGCACTGCCCTAAAAAAACTAAACAGATGACAGCTAAGAGACTGAACAGTCCCTGGCTAACACCCAGCATTCTCAAATCCATAAATACAAAACACCGATATGAAAAACAGTACAGAATGGGTCACATAACCAGAGACCAAACAAAACGTTACTCGTCAATCCTAACCAGCCTGATAAGAAGGGCAAAAAAATTGTATTATGAGAACAGATTATCCAACTTACGAGGTGATATAAAAAAGACCTGGAAAACCCCATCAGAAATTCTAGGAACAAAAAAGATATCACAAAACAGCGAAATAAAATTAGCAAAATCAGATGAACCCCAACTCCCACCAACAGAAACAGCAAACAGACTCAATGATTTCTTCTCCACTATAGGACAAAACCTTGCCAATAAAATCCCAAGCTCAGATACCCCACCAAATGACTACCTCACTGGCAACTACCCGAACACACTGTTCCTAGCTCCGACTAACCCATACGAAGTCTCTCTTATTATCAACGCACTAAAAAACAAGACAGGAGATTTAAATACCTTACCACCCTTTATATACAAAAAAGTGTCACAAGTGCTATCACCAATCATTGTAACACTCTTTAACAAATCCATTGCATGCTCCACCTTCCCTACAGTTCTCAAAATAGCAAGGGTCACCCCGATCCATAAAGGAGGAGACCAGAGTTGAATAACTATAGGCCAATATCCAACTTACACCCTCTCTCAAAAATCTTCAAAAAATTAATTCATAAACGAATCTACTCCTACCTCATCTCCCAAAACATACTCAACCCCTGCCAATTTGGATTCAGGCCTAATAAAAATACTAATGATGCTATTATATACATGCTAGAACATATATACACTGCAATAGAGAAAAAAGAAGTCCCACTGGGGATCTTCATTGACTTACATAAAGCTTTTGATACAGTTGACCATGACTTGCTCCACATAAAATTGTCACACTATGGTATAAGAGGGCACTCCCTCAACTACCTCAAGTCATACCTCAGCAACACAAGCCAATACAGTGGACCCCCGGTTAACGATATTTTTTCATTCCAGAAGTATGTTCAGGTGCCAGTACTGACCGAATTTGTTCCCATAAGGAATATTGTTAAGTAGATTAGTCCATTTCAGACCCCCAAACATACACGTACAAACGCACTTACATAAATACACTTACATAATTGGTCGCATTGGGAGGTGATCGTTAAGCGGGGGTCCACTGTATGTGTACGCAAATGGGGCAAACTCTTCCGTACAATCAATTACAGTTGGTGTCCCACGAAGTGTCCTTGGCCCTCTTCTCTTTCTCCTATACATAAATGACCTACCAAATGCTTCGCAATTACTCAAACCCACACTATTTGCAGATGACACTACATAAGACTTCTCTCACCCGAGCCCATTCATGCTAGCCAATACTGTAAATACCGAATTACAGAAAATATCTACCTGGAAGAGGACTAACAAACTTACACTAAACATTGACAAAACCTACTTCATTCAGTTTGGTAACAGAGCTACAGATGTCCCTCTTAACATAATGATAAACAGATCACCTATCACAAAGCTAACAGAGGGAAAATTCTTAGGAATCCACCTTGATAATAGACTCAAATTTCATACACATATACAAGAAATTTCTAAGAAAATTTCCAAGACCGTAGGCATACTATCGAAGATACGGTACTATGTTCCACAGTCAGCCCTCCTGGCCCTATATCACTCTCTTATTTACCCCTATCTCACCTATGGAATTTGTGCATGGGGCTCAACAACAATTAACCATCTCAGACCACTAATTACCCAACAAAAGGCTGCAGTCAGAATGATAACAAATTCCCACTACAGGCTGTATAGTCCTTGTGGCTTAGCGCTTCTTTTTTGATAATAATAATAATAATACAGGCAGCACACTCCACCAATATTCAAAACACTAAACCTACTCACCATACAAAACATCCATACTTATTACTGCACCTATTACATACATAGAACACTTAACTCTGATATTAACTCTCCCCTCAAACATCTCCTTGCCAACCTCAACAGAACACATGACCATAACACAAGGCACAGATCACTCTTTGATGTTCCTCGTGTCCATCTCACGCTATGCAAAAACTCAATGCACATAAAAGGCCCTAAAATCTGGAATTCATTACCTGTAAATATAAAAGAAACACTACCTGTTTATAAATTCAAGTCTCTTCTCAAAGATCACTTACTCACCCAAAACCAAATAAATACTGAATAACTGAACCTTATAAATTGTATATCTTAAATGTTTCTCACAATTATATCACATAAATGTTAAACCTAAGACCCAATCTAACTTTGTTATTTTTTAAATACACTACCTAACAGAATACTCCATTCTACTGAATGTACAGCAATGCATGCAACCATATGACCTGTCTTTGTAATACTCATTTGTGCTTTATTGTTATCTGTTTACAATAATGTTTTATCACTGATTGCATCATTGCTTAGTTAATCTTAAGTTAATTTTAAGCCAGCCCATAATGCTATGCATACAAGTGGCTTTGGCATGCTGCTCTTACCTGTATTTTTTTGTACCTCTGTATGTATGTTCAAATTATTAAATAAATAAATAAATAAATAAATAAATAGAATGCCTTAATAAGTCACACTGAAGATATCTCACTAGGGAGGGGTTCTCTCCATAAAAATAAAAATGATAACTGCTTTCACAGATACAGTGGGCTTTTTTTTTTTTTCAACAAGTCGACCGTCTCCCACCGAGGCAGGGTGACCCAAAAAGAAAATATTTTCATTATCATTCAACACTTTCACCTCACTCACACATAATCGCTGTTTTTGCAGAGGTGCTCAGAACACAACAGTTTAGAAGCATATATGTATAAAGATACAAAACATCAGAGGCGTCCTAAGCAAGGCGGGGGGGGCGCCCCGGGTGACACCATTTAGGGGGTGACACCATAGAGCCTCTAAAGAATTCAAATTCAAATTCAAATTCAAAGTTTATTCTCTATAAGGATTACAATGCTGAGTTTATAGAATTTGGTTATTGTGTGGTTTACATGTAGTAAAATACTAATTACAGAGGGTGCCACTAGAACACCTAGCATGGCTAGGCATTTCGGGCAGACTTAGATTAATTCTTAACTTTAAAATATTACAAATTATGAGGTAAGTTGGTATTATGGCTAAGTGACTAAATACTAGTTTGTGAGTTTAGCAATGTGAATGCTTTTGTTTTGGCACAATACATAGTTTCAGTATTGGAGTATCACAGAAGGTGACACTAATGCCCAAAACAGTGCTGCACCAACATAAGAGAAAAATTGTTCGTTTCTATATAGCCTATTATATGATTACAGAGTACAAATAAGCCTAAATAGGGAAAATCATTGATTTTGATGATGTGATAGATGATTTTACAGGATTGAAGGCAAGGAAATGTAAGATCAGATTCACTGAGATGTTACCTGTACTCAAGTTCAAATTGGAACTAGTATTTCTCTGATATTGCAATGTTTTTCTTCATTTTTCAGTTTTTTTGTTTTTTTTTCATTGTTGAAGATGAATAAATGTAGGATCTGTTGCCTGTACTTAAAGTGCTATTTGAGTTTATGTTTCCTCAATATTACTACGCTTATTTATTTTATCATTAATAAAGTTGAGAAGTATTCTCCTGTTCAGTTTATGGTCCTTAAATGTTCTCACTGTTAAACATTATTTACTAGTTATGCAGTAGTGACATAACTGGAGTTTACCCCCCCATCCCCCACCCTTGAATTTTATGGGGGCGACACCAAAGATGCTGCTCCGGGTGACACCAGAGATTCCACCCCGGGTGACACCAACTTTGGCGACGCCTCTGCACAACATATCCCTCCAAACTGCCAATATCCCGAACCCCTCCATTAGAGTGCAGGCACTGTACTTCCCATTTCCAGGACTCAAGTCCAGCTATATAAAAATAACCGGTTTCCCTGATTTTTTTTTTTTCAACAAGTCGGCCGTCTCCCACCGAGGCAGGGTGACCCAAAAAGAAAGAAAATCCCCAAAAAGAAAATACTTTCATCATCATTCAACACTTTCACCTCACTCACATATAATCACTGTTTTTGCAGAGGTGCTCAGAACACAACAGTTTAGAAGCATATACGTATAAAGATACACAACAATCCCTCCAAACTGCTAATATCCCAAAACCCCTCCTTTAGAGTGCAGGCATTGTACTTCCCATTTCCAGGACTCACTAAAATATTACCCTGCTCACACTCCAACAGCTCATCAGGTCCCAAATACCATTCGTCTCCATTCACTCCTATCTAACATGCTCATGCATGCCTGCTGGAAGTCCAAGCCAATCGCCCACAAAACCTCTCTTACCCCTTCCTTCCAACCTTTTCGAGGATGACCCCTACCCCGCCTTCCTTCCCCTGCAGATTTATACGCTCTCCATGTCATTCTACTTTGATCCATTCTCTCTAAATGACCAAACCACCTCAACAACCTCTCTTCAGCCCTCTGACTAATACTTTTATTAACTCCACACCTTCTCCTAATTTCCACACTCCGAATTTTCTGCATAATATTTACACCACATATTGCCCTTAGACAGGACATCTCCACTGCCTCCAACCACCTCCTCACTGCTGCGTTTACAACCCAAGCTTCACACCTATATAAGTGTGTTGGCACTACTATACTTTCATACATTCCCTTCTTGCCTCCATAGATAACGTTTTTTTGTCTCCACATACACCTCAATGCACCACTCACCTTTTTCCCTCATCAATTCTATGATTAACCCTTTCAGGGTCCACAGGCCCTCTCAGAGACTTGTTCTCAGGGTCCCCCAAATTTCACAAAAAGAAAAAATTATTTTTTCTTATGAAAAGATAGAGATTTTTTTTCAGATCATAATGACACCAAAAGTATGAAATTTGATGGAAAACTTATGGAATTATGCTCTCGCAACGTTAGCGGTCTCGACGATGTTTACGACTGGCGATTTTGCCCACTTTGAACCCTATTTTCAGCCAATTCCAGTGTACTAGTCGACAAAAATCATACCTATTTTGCTAGAACTCCATTTTTTCTATCGAATGAGTACAAGAAACCACCCATTTACCGATTTCAACTATCCAATACAGTGATCAGAATTTAGCAATTTTGCCAATTTCACACAAATTTCAAAAGATGCCAATTTCCAAATAGGGTCCAGAATAAACAAGAAAGACATTTCTGGCACTAAAATAACATTTCCTCTGTTCATTAGTCATGTCCCCAGGCCCCTCTTACATTCTTTTGCTTTCCATTTTGAATTTTTATTCTCACAAAAAATAGAAGATTTACTGTTATGCAGACTACTGCATTAGTGTAGAAATGGTATAAATAATATCAGCGCACTTGTGAAAGAATATCAGACTCACCATTTGACGTGTATTGGATGCTTAGCATGATTTGTTTACCTTTGAACTTTGGTAAAAATCGAACATTTCTGCTACTTTGAGCTCAATTTCAAGGTACTTTTCATTGTAAACCCAGTCAAAATCATCTCAATTTCTGTAACATGTCTTCCATTCTATCAAATGAGACCAGGAAAACTAAAATACAACAATAAATACCATATGAAAATACAGTGCAAAGTCGCTGTTTTAATCCAAAAATACGGTCAAAGTTTTTTTTCTCATTACGCACTGTGTGCTGCAGGATTTTTTTTATACTGTGCACACTGACCACATAGACCCATTCTTTCATATGTAGGCCTACCAGCTTTCTCTCACTAGATTTGAAGGCGCTAGAATTTATGAGTACTAGTACATCAAGGACCCTGGCACGTAAGCCGTACTAATATGGCCAAAACCCTGAAAGGGTTAACCTCATCCTTCATAAATCCATCCGTCAACACATCAACTCCCAAGTACGTATCTGAAAACATTCATTTCTTCCATACTCCTCCTCCCCAATTTGATATCCAATTTTTCTTTATCTAAATCTTTTGATACCCTCATCACCTTACTCTTTTCTATGTTCACTTTCAACTTTCTACCTTTACACACACTCCCAAACTCGTCCACTAACCTTTGCAATTTTTCTTTAGAATCTCCCATATGCACAGTATCATCAGCAAAAAGCAACTGTGTCAATTCCCATTTTGTATTTAATTCCCCATAATTTAATCCCACCCCTCTCTCGAACACCCTAGTATTTACTTCTTTTACAACTCCATCTATAAATATATTAAACAACCATGGTGACATTACACATCCCTGTCTAAGACCTACTTTTACCGGGAAGTAGTCTCCCTCTCTTCTACACACCCTAACCTGAGCCTCACTATCCTCATAAAAACTCTTTACAGCATTTAATAACTTATCACCTATTCCATATACTTGCAACATCTGCCACATTGCTCCTCTATCCACTCTATCATATGCCTTTTCTAAATCTATAAATGCAATAAAAACTTCCCTACCTTTATCTAAATTTTTTTTTTTTTTTTTTTTCAACAAGTCGGCCGTCTCCCACCGAGGCAGGGTGACCCAAAAAAGAAAGAAAATCCCCAAAAAGAATTGGTAGGATTGCTGATGTCTTTTGTCTGTCTCATAAATATGCAAGATTACAGGCATGTCTTGCTACTTCTACTTACACTTAGGTCACACTACACATACATGTACACATTTATTTATACACACTCATCTGAGTTTTCTTTGATTTTATCTTAATAGTTCTTGGTCTTATTAATTTTCCTTTTATATCCATGGGGAAGTGGAATAAGAATCTTTCCTCCGTAAGCCATGCGTGTTGTAAAAGTCAACTAAAATGCCGGGAACAATGGGCTAGTAACCCCTTTTCCTGTAAAGATTACTAAAAAGAATAAGAAGAAGAAAATTGTCTTTATCTAAATACTAAATACCCATTGCTCATCCACAATCCTACATTCTGTCTTACCTCTAATTCTTTCAATTATAACCCTACCATACACTTTTCCTGGTATACTTATACGTATGTACATATATACAGTACTTAACCAGATAACTGGCCTCAATCTTTCAAAAGAGAATGCATTTCTCTCATTAGTTTCAGTATTGCAGTTCCATAAATCCCAAATAACATCTCTTTTCATAAGGCTTGCAAAGACACTGGGAGGAGACAAGTGTGGGCTAAATATTGTACCAAAATCTGGATATACTGTAATAAACTAATATAAACCTTTTCCAAGTTTCATATTCTTATTATTTGAATCCCCAATTTTCTTGTGTATTTATAACTGGTTGGAGGGAGGAGGTTAAAGCAGTTTTGAATTCAAAAGTCCAGAACATTTGTGGATTAACTCTGACTTGTCTTAGCCATGATACTGAGGCTTTTATTCTTAATATGGCACAATGTATTGTAGTGCATTCTCAATTTCAATCAACATTTTTATTTTTAACATGTCGGCCGTTTCCCACCGAGGCATGGTGACCCAAAAAGAAAAAACTTTCATCATTCATCGCTTTCACCATCACTCGTACATAATCACTGTCTTTGCAGAGGCGCTCAGATACAACAGTATAGACGTCCCTCAAAACTGCCAATATCCCAAACCCTTCCTTTAAAGTGCAAGCGTTGTACCTCCCATTTCCAGGACTCAAGTCCAGCTAACCAGTTTCCCCGAATCCCTTCACAAAATATTACCCTGCTCACACTCCAACAGCTTGTCAGGTCCCAAAAACCATTCGTCTCCATTCACTACTATCTATCAACATAGAACTGCCTAATTTCGCTTAAAACTATAAATTAATATTTCTCAGTAACACTGACGCAAACATTTTGCTTACCTTATTCACTTTCTGGGACAGAGTTGGAAGGCCAATCTGTGGTACAATATTTGTTATCTGTTCTGTCAAATCTCCTTCCAGCTCAATATCCTCTTCCAGCTCACAGGTGGTCTGGGAGTAAAAGAATGTCAATACAGTATTTTCATTAGTTTTATTGCCATTTATTTACTAGCCAATATTACTTCACTCTCAATCAGCATCCATTCAGCAATTACATTATTAATGTACTTCATGAGAAGAGCTAAATCCATATGAGTCATGAAGATAACTGAGCAGCAGAAGCTAGATACTCTAGACACTAATTAAGACACACATGCTACTTAATTACAATCACTCACTAGTCTATTTTCACCATGGTATTTCCTGTCTTTGATATATAATGACGCCAAAAAATATTTTTTAATTCATACAATGTATGGAGATGCCACGTTTGAGAACAATGTGTTGTGTGACTATTTTGCAAAAATTTCAGAGAGTAGAAATTAGAGGATGTGTGGGGCATTATGAAAGTATAATTCAGATGATGGAGATGTTTGTTGAGGTGGGTCAGTCATACTGAAAGGACAGAATAGAACTGGAAGACCAAGAGAGTGTATAACTCAAAGGTGGGAGGAGGAATAAGGATAAGGGTCATCCCGGGAAGGGTTGGACAGAGGGTGTGAAGGTTTTACATGGTAGGAACCTCCACCAGGTATAAGCATGTTTGACTGGAATGAGTGAAGGAAGTAGTTTTAAGGACTTGATGTGCTGCTGGAGTGTGAAGGCATCAATAATGAAGGAATTTGAGAAAACAAGTTAGCCAGACATGAGGAATTGATGTGGGAAGTACAGTGTCTGCACTCTGAAGTAGTGGTGGGAATGTTGAAGCTTAGAGCATCATTTGAACTATGGTGTTTGTGCACTTCTGGAAAAACAGCTACTGAGTGAATGTTTCCTCTTTTTAAATCATGCTACCCTGGTGGAGATAGCCAATGTGGTAAAAAAAAAATATAATTCACATATGTCAGGCTGTCATCCTTACTTGCATCTCTTATCACATGATGTGTGTAGCTAGTACTGAAATATGTAGTGTATACAGGCCACACAGATCTTGACTAAACAGTATGTACTGTTATCAATATAGTATCCAAGCAGTAACATATCCTAGACACTTTTCCTTGTTTACATTCTCCACTTAATTTTTTACCCATATACATATATAACCTAGGTATTAGGTTGGTAGACAGCAACCGCCCAGGGAGGTACTACCATCCTGCCAAGTGAGTGTAAAACGAAAGCCTGGGTATTCTTCTATTTTCTTTCTAGTTCTTGTTCTTGTTTATTTCCTATCTCCATGGGGAAATGGAACAGAATTCTTCCTCTGTAAGCCATGCGTGTTGTAAGAGGCGACTAAAATGCCGGGAGCAAGGGGCTAGTAACCCCTACTCCCGTATAAATTACTAAATTTAAAAGAGAAAATTTCATTTTTCTTTTTGGGCCACACTGCCTTGGTGGGATACAGCTGGTGTGTTGAAAGAAAGAAGACATATATAACCTAGGTAGTAGGTTGGTAGACAGCAACCGCCCAGGGAGGTACTACCATCCTGCCAAATGAGTATAAAACGAAAGCCTGTAATTGTTTTACACGATGGTAGGATTGCTGGTGTCCTTTTTTCTGTCTCATAAACATGCAAGATTTCAGGTACGTCTTGCTACTTCTACTTACACTTAGGTCACACTACACATACATGTACAAGCATATATATACACACCCCTCTGGGTTTTCTTCTATTTTTTTCTAGTTCTTGTTCTTGTTTATTTCCTCTTAACTCCATGGGGAAGTGGAACAGAATTTTTCCTCCGTAAGCCATGCGTGTTGTGAGAGGCGACTAAAATGCTGGGAGCAAGGGGCTAGTAACCCCTTCTCCTGTATATATTACTAAATGTAAAAGGAGAAACTTTCGTTTTTCGTTTTGGGCCACCCCGCCTCGGTGGAATACGGCCAGTGTGTTGAAAGAAAGATACATATATAAAACAAATTAAAGGAAAAAATATTCATGGGTCTTATTACAACAGCAACAGAGAATTTTCATACAAATCTTTATACCTTAATCTCAAAATTTGCAGTGTTAAGTTTCTCTATTAAATAATGTGGTAAACTCTGAATCATAGAAGCCATTTTTGATTCACACTGCTTTGCAACCAGTGACAGCGCCTCTAGATGTACTGGTCCTTCAGTGACTTCCCATGCATGGTCAAAAGTGATTTTATCTATGTTCTTTGAGTCCTTCCCATAACCACCTTCTTGCTGCTCAATCTCTTCCTTAGCTGCTCGCTGCCGCGCCTCTTGCAAGACCTATGTATAAATCAACTTGTCATTAAAGTCTGATCACATTTATAGGCAACTAATATTCATAATTTATGTGAAATCATGAATTTAAAAATGTTTTTCTAAATTGCAAAATAGTTTTAAGAGTTCTAAAAGTTCTCCAGCTTATAACATAACCTGAAGCCAGGCCACTCTGATGACAACCTAATTAGCTATTGACTATTACTTGCTGCTTACAAACTAATATGCTAAATCATAATCTGGTTGATCAGGTTTTGTAAAATGTTATCTCCTACAAATGACAGGCAATACTTGTGATCTATATAGGGTTTATTGGTTTTATTAACACACTGACCATTTCCCTCCACAAGAAAGTGACCCACAGAAGAAAAATATATTCACCACCCCTCATTCTCAGCTGTCCTTTGGGAAGACCATGGACATCACACTTTTACTGATCCAAAAATATGCACCATTTATGCAAAATAATACCTGAGATAAGATGGGCTTTCTGTTGGCGAGAAGAGCTCTCTTTTTCCGCAGTCCAGGGTCTCCTTCTTGAATTACATCCATTGCTTTTCGTCCAATGACTTCCAGGGTATTCAGCCCTCCTAACAGCACCTAGAATGAAGCCACTCTTAAGGTCACTTGTGAAGAATGCATGAAAATACAGTGGTACTTCAAGTTACAAACTTAATTCATTCCAGAAGGCTGTTCGAGTACCGATACCGAACAAATTTGTTCCCATAAGGAATAACGTAAATTAGATTACAGTGTAGTCTGTTTCAGACCCCCAAAAATACACTTACAAAAGCACTTACAAAAATACACTTACATAACTGCTCGAGTTGGGAGCTGTTCAAAACTCGAGGTACCAATGTACGTATATCATATTACTCTAAAAATAAACTATGCATAACAAAAAATTAAAACAAAATTTTCTGTAACTCTCACTCAATTTTTAACTAGGCGAGGCAGAATACAGCAACATCAACTAAAAGATAAAATGATCTTATACAAAATTCACAATGATAGAGCACTGTAATTAAAATGCAATTAGAGTTCAAAATTATACTTTACATAATATACTGTTTCCTAGGCTAGAATGTTAGTGAAGCTCTATTAATTCAAAATGCAGCTAGTAATGCAATTGAAATATCTAAATCATCTACAAAAATGCTGTACAAGTATTATCTCCAGCTACTGCAAATTTTTTCAAATTACTAGAAGAGAAAACCTTTCTTAACTTCCTTAAAAGTGCCAGGATAACATCTATCTATAATAGCAGTGATCCAACTGATGTTAGCTACAGGCCATTTTCTAATATACCGCTACTATCAACGTGATTGCTCCTTGCCAATTTGCATTCGACCTAAAAAACACAAATGATGCATTATTAAGAAATGCTTGACAGTTTATCCATAACTTGCAAGAAATAAGTATCTATTGGTCTTTTTGGTGATCTGCAAAAGGCTTTTGATATTGGTGATCACAAAATTCTCCTACTCAAGCTAAATCACTATTGACTTAAGTGGATACACACACACATACAAGTATTTTCAGTTATCCCTCAGTAACAGACAAAAGCATGTAGCCATAAATGACACTTCTATAACTAACAATAACTTCAGGTGTTTTTCTGGGGTAGCATTCTGGGACCTCTTCTTTTCCTTATCAACTGTTTATCAATGACCTACTTAATGCCACCCAATATCATATCATATATCATCAGGCCCAAACCACTTGACAATATATGTACACCATACAGTAGTTAATGACAAACTAAAAAAAAAAGTTTACACCTGGATGACTACCAATAAACTCACCCTTACATACAATTTTTGAATAAAGGGAAATTCTTAGGACTAATAATAGAAAATAAATTGAAATTTAATGCTCATGTCGAGCACAAATATTAATAAAAGTATTGCAATATTTAAAAACTATGCTTCACACCAAAACAAATCTGCTAGCACCATTATACTTTTGCAACATTCTTTATTTTTATGCCACTGACAAACTTCTTTCTTTTTCACTAACTCCTCAACACTCCTACCATTTTCTTTCCCCTTATCTATTCTATGATTTACCTCATCTTTAATGGACCCCTCAGTAAATACACCCACTACCAAGTATCAGAACTATGCTGTATTCATTTCCTCCTCAAGTATCTGAACCATTCTGGCTCTCAGTCCATCACCTTACCTTTGAGCTGGCTGTCTCTAGAGCCCCTGAGACACCAGACACAAGAGATCCAATAGAAGAAAGTCCACCAAAGCTGTAGTCGACCACCAAATTTTTACCATCCCCTCCATCACTGTCACTGCTTGATGTATTGGTCTCACGATTATCCAAGCCTGGGGCAACGAAAATATAAGCTTGTGTTTCTCCCAGTATCACTTATGAGCTAATTCTGATAGTGAATTTACAGCTATTCCACAAACTGGAGATGAAACTAAACAGTGTTTGAGTTCATCATGAATCAACACTGCACAGCTGTCAAGGACAGACTGAACATTCTCTAATTTCATTTCCAATTTGTTGGTTAGCTGTAAATTGGTCTGACCAAAGTGATGTGACTAATTCTTCCCTGATATTTAATAAATCAAACTCAGTCACCATTTTAAGTTCTAATCATCTTATGTTAAAGCTGAAAACCAAAAACAGGCACTATGTATATAATGGAAGAATGTGTGTTAGTTTGGTTATGGTATAAAAGGGTCAACCATCACTATTTGTTATAAGAAAATGTGCATATAAGAATCAGGATAGACAAAAGCACACAGGCACATCAACATATACCATACACATAATACTGGTGCAAATTTAGAGAAGAGGAAACGCATGAGTTCCGAGAATTTTTCTACTCCCAGAGCCTGACCTTGGGCCAGGCTCATCTGGTGCTTGCCTGGTCAACCAGAATGTTGCTGCTGGTGGCCTGCTAAATTATAAATGGCCTCAAAGAAAAAAAATGAATGTACTTCTATAGTCATCTCTGAGAAAGCCTATGTGAAGTTTCTATAATAAATGAAAGTCAAAAAGATGGCCTAGAGATTTCATGATCTGGCAAGTCCCAATAGGAGATCCAGAGAAGAATAACACACAATACTGAAATGACCAGGCATCTTCTCCAACTCAAAAAAATAATAATACATAATAAAATTTGAATAAAGAATTCCTCCTTTTTCTTCTACTCCCTCTTCCCCTTTCCTCTTTCCCTTTTCTCCTCTGGGTTGCCTTTCTTCTGCCTTGTGTTTTTGTTCCTTCATTATTTATTTTTTATTACCCCCCCCCACCTTGTGTTCTTGCTCTTACCCTCTGTGGGCACCTAGCTCCCTTGCAGTGCTCCTCTTTCTTAGTATTTGACTTGCTCCTCCTCCTTCTTACTTCCCCACTACTACTTCCTTCCACCACTACTACTACTAGTACTATTACTACTACTACTACTACTAGTACTACTACTACTACTACTAGTACTACTACTACTACTACTACATCTACTACCACTACCACTTCCTGCCTATATATACCCTTCCTGTTCTCCTTCTCATTAGTGTGACTTTGTAAATGGTTCAAGTCGGACCGAAACGTCATCGTAAGCTCCTCTCTCCTATATGCGGGTTATTTGTGTATTGTTCCAGTCACAGTATTGTGCCTTTTTTTGTTATTTAATAAAGAATTGAATTTGTGTGCCATGGCCCAATGGCAAGGACTTTCAATAGCTTGCTGACAATGCTGCAACCCTCTAGTAAATGTCTACATCATAAACTATGGCAGTTCATTGACAAGTGAGCAAGAAGTGTAAGGGATGTTATTCCAAACAGTTTGAAGTAGCATAGCAACATGGAACAGAACTATGTTAATGAAGATAACAGTGTATATTTTTTCAAGGAAAAACTCCTGGTTATGCATAGCATTACAGGCAGACTTGAGCTAGGACTAATATAGTACCAAGAATAAAAAAAAAAAAGAAAATATATTGCACCTATTTAGATATATGGTATGTAATACATGCTAAATATACTATAAATTTTTCATTCCACAAACTTAATTCAAAAGTTTATATTGAATTTACATTTATCCTCAAGAGAATTAATAAGCAAATGAGAAAGTAATAACATAATAGTGGTTGGATATATGACAATACATATCTAAAAAATTTAAGGAACAAGGCATAATTTACAACCTGGAAATAAAAATTTAATGGTAGTTAGAAAGTTACATCAAAACTTGTTTGAGGGGAAATACATTAGGTACAAAAATTTCTTAAGTTTTTGTTTGATTTCATTAAGTTGAAGGATTTTACTTCATCTGGCAAATTATTCCACATTTTTGGTCATTTTATTTGCATCGAGTTCTTATACGAGTCCAGGCAAATGTGAGGAACATCAAAGAGGTATTTTGTTTTGAATGAGATGCCTATGTGTTCTGTTACAGTTTTCCAAGAAGATGAGGGAGAGATGAACAGTAGAAAGTACGTGTATGTAACGCATTAAAAATTTAGTAGGTTTAGGGATTTGAACAAGGGCATAGAACTGGCTCTAATTTTGAGTTTATGATGGTTCTGATACCTGCCTTAGGTTGTGTGATGATTGGTTTGAGGTAGATAGCTAAGGCAGAACCCCAGGCACAAATTCCATAGGCAAGGTTTGGGTAAATGAGAGAAGTAATGTGTTAATAGTACTGCATAGATTGGAGAACACAATAGCAAATTTTGGAAAGAATTTCTGCAGGTTTTAATAATAATAACAATAATAATATCAGACTATGCACTAAATCTGGAAGGGTCAAACAGTGCTATGCCATTTTTTAAATATTTACCTATAAGCAGACCTAGGAACCTACCCACGTCCTTTATCTCTACTTCAAATTAGGAGTCATTAATTTTGGTATCTAATTAGGGACAAGGCTTATTCCCAAAAGACATAGAATAAAGGTGTAAAGCTTTTTATTAATTTATCATTACCTATAGTGCTTAATTTAAAGTCTGGGGAAGAGTCAGAGCATGGTAAGATATATGTATTAAATTAGCATTCAACTTGGAAGGTATTTTATTTAAAAAAAAAAAAAAAACTTAAATTACAAGGCTTAACTAGCTCTGAAGAAAACATCAATACAGTAACAACAGTTTAATGGTCAAGATGTCACTTACTTTCTGGATTATTTGCTGCCTGGCTTTCTTCTGCTTTGCCTTTCAAAAGTTCTTCCTCAATCTCCAACATCCTTTGCCTTTCTGCAATCTCTTGAGCTAGAGTTTCAGGATCAGGGACTCCCAGGGTGCCTTCTACTGTCTCCACAACAGTGCCAACACCTCGGCCAACCTCCCGAGTAAAGGTGGAGGCAGCAGAAAGGAGTGTGGTACCCCAGCCACCCCAGGATTCTCCCCATCCACCATCATCATCAGCAGCAGCAGAATATTTTAAAGGAATCTGGTACAGATAAATCCAATGGACTTTATTTTATAAGAGAAAATAAAAGATGAAGCAATTCAGACACTGAAATGAAGGTAACTAGAGGTAAAAAGTACTCTATTAAAGGTATATACATCAACAAGTTGATGAATAGAACATGTGCAGCATCTGGACATCATTATTTGAAAGATGCTCTGCCCACCAGGGGATTTGTCAATCTAATGAAGACAAAAGAAAGCAGACTAAGCTATATAGTGTAATCAGAGAAATGGTAGCAGTAATGGTCACATAAGCTAGGGTGGTTCTTGCTACTACCTCTCTGGTCCCCCTAGAAAAGTCTCCTTTCCGATGTCCCTTCATGGGTGAAACATCTCTCAAATAAAGATATTCACATGTTGCACATGTTATATTCATCGAAAATACTTTCTCTTAAAGCCAGAGCCAGATTAAGGGGCAAGCCAGATGGGCAGCTGCCCAGGGCACTGACCAACAAGGGGCACTAAAAACATGAAATGCAGGAAAAAAAAACGTACAGTATACTAAAGCACTAAAAATTCCATGTGCAGTAAGTTAATATGCTATGTTACATTAATTACATTACATTAATTCTCCACGCATCAACACCACTCCCAACAAAGTTATAATTCTTCCCAACAGCCAGGTTGCACTGAACGTCTTAAAAGTACTTTCACAAGCTAACACCAGAGTCGCCATCGCTTCTAGCACTTCAATAAAGGATCTAACCAGGACAAAATCCAAGCACCACGAACCAGTCAATGCAGGAGTTTACACTATACCCTGTGGAGGCTGTGACAAGATTTACATAGGTGAAACAGCAAGAAACCTCGACACCCGCCTCAATGAACACATTTACGCATGTAGGAATGATAACTTGAACAACGCCTGTGTACAACACCGAAATTCCACCAATCATCTCATGAAATTCAGAGACGCCCAATTAGTGATCAAAGAAACTAATTTCCGCAGACGCAAGTGCCTTGAATCAGCACTGATCGCTGTTTTGAATACAATTAAATAAAACAACGGCAGCTTCACCATCTCCGAAGTCTTAGCAAGAATCCTCCTGAAAACAGTAAACCCTGCCATCACATAGTCTCTCCTGCTATACTACACATAGCACATTACAGAGAGTGAACACTGAAACAAGCTGCCTCTTTCCAGTCTATATTTGTCCAACCTATTTTTATGTTACCCAAGTAATAGCTTTTATCCTTTTACTCATGTACGAATTAATTGCTCTACTATATTGTATTACTTTTGTCACTACTACTACTACTACTACCACTAGTGAACTCGAAATGGTACCTCACTAGTATTGCACCTCACTCTGAGCCTTTATATACTCTCTGTGTCCATGTATTGTTTGTAATGGCTTGATAAAGCTCCTGGAGAGCGAAACGTTGCCACAATAAAATGTCACATTAGTTGCACTTGTGTCCTTTTACTTTACATATGTTACATGCAATGCATAAAAATATAGTACCTAAGAGGTATACAGTTTATCTTTATTAAACCTCATAGAAAATCAGTTTTATCTCTTTCCACTATAGAAATGTTGAACAAATATTTGAAAAAATATCAATACCAGTTATTTTTTTAATACACCAGCCATCTCCCATTAAGGCAGGGTGACCCAAAAAAGGACACATATTCACCATCATTCATTCAATAGCAGTCTTGTCAGAGATACAAAGACATTACAATTAGGATGATCCTCTGAACAGCAACATCCCCACCCGTCCCTCAGAGAGCAGGCACTGTACTATCCACCTCCAGGATTTATGTTCAGTTAGTCAGTTTCTCTGAATCCCATCATAAAGTCATCTTGCTCACACTCCAACAGCAGGTCAAGCCACAGAAACAATTTGTCTCCACTCACTCCGAACTAACATGCTTCCAAGCGTTTTGGATGCCTAAGTTCCTAGCACTTTCTTACCCCATTCTCATAAACTACAATTCTATTTAATCTCCCACATAGAGGTATGAATATTCATCTACAAAATAACCATCTATACACCAGAGAGCACTAACAAAATAATAATAATAATAATAATAATAATAATAATAATTAGTTTATTTCTTTGAGCGATACAAATAATGTAGATAAATGTATTATACAATAGAAGGCACAAAAAAAAGCCACTAATTATGCAATGCATATTGGGCAACATTAGTTATTATATTTGGCACAGAATTGAGGGTATAAGTTAAATACTTTTATCTTATTGCATTTTACCTAAACTCATAATAAATGTAATATTTTTATGAATAAAATTAATATTATTCTTATTATTATAAAAAAACATGTAAAAGCATAAGTTACAGTTGCAAAATATGGAATCTGTACCATATTACAATAAAAAAATACATACTTGTTGACGTGCTCCACCTTGGTTATGAACTTGCTGCCATCTCAGCTGCTGCTCCTCCCATTCTTGCTGCTTGTGTTTGTCATCCACTTGTTTACCAAAGAGTACCTCTCTCTCTAGCTTTTCCTCTTCATCTACGACACATACTGGGTTTATCTTATTTGCTTTGTTTGTGCAGTCTTTAAGCTTTGTGATACTATCTGAACTGATGTTGTCTAAAGTCTTTTTTTCTATTCTTGAACCCAATTTCCTCGATCCGAGCCGTTCGCCAAGCTTTTCACGAGGTTTTTTCATGCCAATTTTGGATTCACGAACTGTTTTGGGTTTTGAGATTCTTCCTGAATCAATTTCAGCAAATTCTGTATTTGTTCCTTCCCCCTTATTACTTACTTTACTATCATCTGACTGATTTGTTTCTGTCATTCTTTGGGTGACTACTGCTTGCTGAGCTCTTCCTGTTTCTTTTATTTCTACTCTTCGTATTATTTCTACTTCATCATCTTGCTTAGTTTCTGTATTTATTTTTTCATCTTTCACTACTTTCTGTATATGATGAAGTCCATCCTTCTCTCCTTTCTTGTACTGCTTATGGTCCCTTTCCCCAGCGAGTACTGTGTCTGTATTGAGTACATGCTGATTACAAGAACTTTCAGTAAATTTCTCAATATTTTCACTATCACTGTTTTTTCTATCATTATCATTGTTTTCTTTAATAGCATTATCATCTACATCAGTCTTAAGACATATCAGTTCTTTATTGTTTTCTGAATCATAATGTACATTTTTTAATGTATCATACATGGGATCATTATCTGGAGAACTTTCCTTTGTTAATGTATCTTCTGTGCTCTTCAAATTCTCATGCACAATATCTTGAATACTCAACCTGCTTAAGACATCTTTAAGTTCCTTATCAGTTCTATTATCTGATTTCTGAGCTGTTGCTTCCTCTGGCTTGTCTTCTACAGGTGTATATGCTGCTGATATAGCACTTATATGATGCACCGAATCGCTGTATTCTAATTCAGAAGGTGGGTTTTTATTATCACTATCTTTATCGATGTCACTCTCATCTGCCTCTTCCTCATCACTAGAAAGTGGTGTAGTCTGAGGTGATGGTGAAGATGGAAGTGGGCGGAACTGTGTCAACAATCGCTTTGTTGGCTCTGAAGAGTCAAAGCCTTCAAATTCAAAGTCTTCATCAGCTGACTGGAACTCCTCACTATCAGAAGACATGATTCTAGAAGAAAATAGACATGTATATTTGCTTTTAAAACTTCTTTAAAAAACTGAAGATGTACTCACTAAAAATATATATACAATATACTACAGGAAAAATGGGTAGATATAGTACACTATAGTACTACACAGTACTACAGTAGATATAGTACACTACAATAAATACCAACCTTGTCTATCAGTAAATGTTATCCAATCACATTTACTGATTATACCACGTCAAATTAACTTACCAGATTAGTATGGCTGTCTCAAGTATTGAACTTTACAGCTGGAGAAAAAGACACTAGTGAACTTTTCTGCCATACCTACAAAAACAAAAAAACAAAAATAATAATAATAATAATAATAATAATAATAATAATAATTTTTTCATCAAACTGGCTGTATCCCACCGAGGCAGAGTGGCCCGAAAAGAAAAAAGAAAGTTTCTCTTTTTAAATTTAGTAATTTATACAGGAGAAGGGGTTACTAGCCCCTTGCTCCCGGCATTTTAGTCGCCTCTTACAACATGCATGGTTTACGGAGAAAGAATTCTGTTCCACTTCCCCATGGAGATAAGAGAAAATAAACAAGAACTAGAAAGAAAATAGAAGAAAACCCAGAGGGGTGTGTATATATATGCTTGTACATGTATGTGTAGTGTGACCTAAGTGTAAGTAGAAGTAGCAAGACGTACCTGAAATCTTGCACGTTTATGAGACAGAAAAAAGAACACCAGCAATCCTACCATCAAGTAAAACAATTACAGGTTTTCGTTTTACACTCACTTGGCAGGATGGTAGTACCTAAATGGGCGGTTGCTGTCTACCAACCTACTACCTAGAATAATAATAATAATAATAATAATAATAATAATAATAACAATAATAATAATGTAATAATAATAATAATAAATATGGCACATGACCATTTCCAAAACAAAGAAACTAGTTCCAATCCAGTAAAACTCAATAAAGGAGGTTTGCTATGTTTAATTAAAATATCATATGGAATATACATACATTCAATCTGCATATCCCCCAATATACTCATCAGTTTAAGGCTCATTTTTGCCTGTTTGTTTTTATAGGCTTATGTTATGCAGCATTAAAGATCTCACAACATGGGGGCATTCATTTTTATTACAATTTCTCTACAAATGTTACTTAGGTAGGTTAGGTTTGGTTAGTTAGATCATTGTAGCCTATCCACAGATTAGTATGTTAATTATTAAACTTGTCTGCATAAATAAGATTCCAATATATATATATATATATATATATATATATATATATATATATATATATATATATATATATATATATATATATATAATAGGATGGGGTCCACCTCTGGTGTAAATTGTGGGACCCATTGCCTCGGAGAAGTGCATAAAAAAGACTTCAAGGAGAATATGTGGATTTCTTCCTGAAGCCGTTTGAATATTCCACTTCCCCTACCACCCCATCTTTTAGTATATTTTTTTTTTTACCAATAGGAATATTTTATTGCATAATATGGTACAGAAGATTTAAGAGATACATTGTTGATAATAAAGGTGGCATATACGGTACATGTTGTTACGTGTGTATCACCGATTATAAGGCGAAAATCTCATCCAGCTCCTCAGAGCTGGGGCGTGTAATATAATATATATATATATATATATATATATATATATATATAATATATATATATATATATATATATATATATATATAATATATATATATATATATATATAATATATATATATAATTATATATATATATTATATATATTTATATAATATATTATATATATATATAAATATATATATATATATAATATATATATATATATATATATATATATAAACTGTATGTTGCTACCAACAGTAACAAAACCTACAAGAGTACAGAGACTAGTGTTTCCTACTTGACCACATCTGGACCAAACACCATATCCCTTTAAAATCAGGCATAATTACAGATAATACCACAGACCACTACCCTACTTTTCTCATAACAACTCTTGGTAAATTACCCCAAGACACCTTCAGACTTCACAATGAGGCAGCCATTAATAACTTCACAACAGCAGTAGCAAACATTGACTGGCACACTGAGCTAGAAATCTATACAGATATTGACGAATGTATTAATAATTTTCTAAAAAAGACCCAATACCTCTATAACAAGCACTGCCCTAAAAAAACTAAACAGATGACAGCTAAGAGACTGAACAGTCCCTGGTTAACACCCAGCATTCTCAAATCCATAAATACAAAACACCAATATGAAAAACAGTACAGAATGGGTCACATAACCAGAGACCAACAAAACGTTACTCGTCAATCCTAACCAGCCTGATAAGAAGGGCAAAAAAATTGTATTATGAGAACAGATTATCCAACTTACGAGGTGATATAAAAAAGACCTGGAAAACCCTATCGAGAATTCTAAGAAAAAAAAGATATCACGAAATAGCGAAATAAAATTAGCAAAATCAGATGAACCCCAACTCCCACCAACAGAAACAGCAAACAGACTCAATGACTTCTTCTCCACTATAGGACAAAACCTTGCCAATAAAATCCCAAGCTCAGATACCCCACCAAATGACTACCTCACTGGCAACTAACCGAACACACCCTTTTTTACTATTCAAAGAAACGGTATAGGCTCCACGTCGCCCCCGGGCCCCTAATCACTCTTTTTTTTTACCCCTACCTCCCTATGGAATTTGTTGGGGTCACAACAAGTAACCTCTCAGCCCACTAATTACCCAACAAAAGGCTGCAGTTAGAATGATAACAAATTCTCACTATAGGAGCACACTCCCCCAATATTCAATACACTAAACCTATTCACCTTTACAAAACATTCCATACTTATTACTGCCCTATTACATACATAGAACACTTAACTCTGATTATAACCCTCCCTCAAACATCTCCTTGCCACCTCAACAGAACACATGACCATAACCCCAAGGCACAGATCACTCTTTGATGTTCCTCGTGTCCATCTCACACTATCCCAAAAACTCAATGCACATAAAAGGCCCTAAATCTGGAACTCATTACCTGAAAATATAAAAGAAACACTCCCTGTTTATAAATTCAAGTCTCTTCTAAAAGACCCACTTACTCACCCAAAACCAAAAAAATTACTGAATAACTGAACCTTATAAATTGTATATCTTAAATTTTTCTCACAATTATATCACAAAAATGTTAAACCTAAAACCCAATCTAACTTTATTATTTTTTAAATACACTACCTAACAGAATACTCCATTCTCTGAATGTACAACAATGCATACAACCATATGACCTGTCTTTGTAATTACTCACTTGTGCTTTATAGTATCTGTATACATTAAAGTTTTATCATGATGTCATCATTGCTTAGTTCATCTTAAGTTAATTTTAAGCCAGCCCGAAATGCTATGCATAGTATAAGTGGCTTTGGCATGCTGCTCTTATCTGTTTTTTTTGTACCTCTGTATGTGTGCTCAAATTTTTAAATAAATAAATAAATAAATAAATATATATACTGTGTAAGTCATAATGCAACATACTCTTATCCCACTAGACTACGTCACATACATACATGTACTTACAACATCATAAGGAAACCATAGTTCTTACGAAAATTTTTTTTACTATTTCTCTACTAATATTATTTAGGTTGGGTTTTAAGTTTAGTTGGTTAGACTGTCATTTATTCGTGAAAAGCATTTTGGGGAGTAAGCATTGTCAATGAAATGAATGAAGGGAATGACACAAACGACACACACACAGACGTCTCAGTCCTCTCTTTCTCTCTCTCACTACCCCCCCCCCCACAATTTCCCTTTGGGAAAAAGCCAAAGAAATTCTCACAGAAGTTACTAAAGATGAAGATGTTCACAGATACTGCAGTTATTTGTAACTGCTGCAAATATTTTCAGTTGTTTAAAGATATCAGTATGTAGCTTAGTTATTACAGACGTTGTGAATCACTGCAAGGCCTGCAGTTTTGCTGTGTGTTGAAGCAACACCCATTGCTACTTTAGGTATGAGGCATCTGTTAGAGCACTTTATTCATTTTTGTTCTTATGTTTGAGAATTACCTGCCTAGTAGGGGTTAACTCATACTAACTAGTAAGTTTTCCCTACAGTGCTCTTTTCTTATGCTTATGTCATTCTCTCTTCCATCCAATAAATATAAATCATTTTTTTAAAGCAATATCTAACTTACCCGGGAAAAACATAGCAAACTACTCCAACTCAAAATTTTCACAGATCCGACGGTCCTAAATTCCGGAAGCTAAAAAAAGTTAATAATAATGGGAAGTACAGTCCCTGTACTCTGAGGGGGGTGTTAATGTTGCAGTTTTAATAACTGTGGGTGTGACGTACCTCTGGAAAAGACAGTGATGGAGTGAATGATGATGAAAGTTTTTTTTTTTCGGGTCCCCTTTGCCTTTGGTGGGAAACGGCTGTTGTGTTAATAAAAAAAAAACCCAAATTTAATTTAGCCAGAGAAATTTAGTTCTCCCCCAACATGTATCGATATGTTACTAAAGCATGATAATTATACTTAAAGTGTACCTGTACTAAAATAAACTCACTAAACACACTATAATATGGTAACTAAGGATCCCTCGACACGTGTGTGACATTTTGGCTAAAATTTGAAGGGGTTTTTCCCCTTTTAAACAGAGGTCTTTAATCGCCCTCCTGTCTCCCCTGGCCGAGATAATCAGTTAAAAGTGACAAAAAGGTTAATGAACAGTGTAAAATAAGTGATTTTACAGCAAGGGGTGAGGAGAGAGTGGCTGGTATAGATCAGCTGTTACAGTAAAACACCAACAATCATTGTTTGCTACTCTTATAAAGGGGTCACATCACTAGCCCCCTCTCATCACTATTATGTTGTTACGTTGAAATTTAATTATTATCACAATATGTAAGTCAGTAAATAAATTTATTTAGGTGCAGGTACGCATAAGTTAATTGTCGTACCTAGTCACATGTTGTGGGAAATTTCCTAGGATAATCCCCCATTTAATTTTAACTCAAAGTGAGGTACAAATAATGTAACTCAGTAAGTTATTTCCAATGGAGTCCTTATTTCTATTTTTGGTAGGCACAAAAAGAAAAACCGTTAATTATGCAATAATTTTTATTATTTTATTATTATATTATTATTATTATTATTATTTTATTATTATTATTATTATTATTATTATTATATACACGCGAGGTGTATCTCTCTCAGTGGACTCTAAAATTTTAATCTCCGTCAAATTTGGTGAGTGATATTAAGATATATTTTCTTCTGTTATGTAATTGTTCATATATATTATTATATATATATTATATATATATATATATATATATATATATATATATTTTTAATTTTATATATATATAATATTTTTATTATATATATATAATAATTTATTAGCAGCTACGGTGAAAAGCTCTGTTCCACAAGGCACAGTATCGCTCCCATCTTGTTCCTCATCCTTATATCCGACATGGGCAAGGATGTCAGCCACAGCACCGTGTCTTCCTTTGCGATGGGCACCGAATCTGCATGACAGTGTCTTCCATTGCAGACACTGCAAAGCTCCAGGCAGACATCAACCAAATCTTTCAGTGGGCTGCAGAAAACAAAATATGAAGTTCAACGATGAGAAATTTTAATTACTCAGATATGGTAAACATGAGGAAATTAATCTTCATCAGAGTACAAAACAAATTTCTGGCCACAAAATGAGCGAAAACACAACGTCAAAGACCTGGGAGTGAATCATGTCGGAGGATCTCACTTCAAGGACCATAACATTGTATCAATCGCATCTGCTAGAAAAAATGACAGGATGGATAATGAGAACCTTCAAAACTAGGGAGGCCAAGCCATGATGACACTCTTCAGGTCACTTGTTCTATCTAGGCTGGAATATTGCTGCACCTAACAGCACCTTTCAAGGCAGGTGAAATTGCCGACCTAGAAAATGTACAGAGAACTTTCACGGCGCGCATAACGGAGATTTAAAAAACCTCAATTATTGGGAGCGCTTGAGGTTCCTAAACCTGTATTCCCTGGACGCAGGAGGGAGAGATACATGTTTTTATACACCTGGAAAATCCTAGAGGGACTAGTACCGAACTTGCACACGAAAATCACTCATTACTAAAGCAAAAGACTTGGCGACGTAGCACCATCCCCCCCAATGAAAAAACAGGGGTGTCACTAGCACGTTAAGAGACCATACAATAAGTGTCGGGGCCCGAGACTGTTCAACTGCCTCCCAGCACACATAAGGGGATTACCAACAGACCCCTGGCAGTCTTCAAGCTGGCACTGGAAAGCACTAAAGTCAGTTCCGGATCAGCCGGGCTGGGGGGTCGTATGTTGGTTTGCGTGAGCCAGCAGCAACAGCCTGGTTGATCAGGCTCTGATCCACCAGGAGGCCTGGTCTCAGACCGGGCCGCGGGGGCGTTGACCCCCCGGAACTCTCTCCAGGTAAACTCTCTCCAGGTACAGTCCACAAATTTATATAATTTACCAGCATTCTTGGTGTATGTATATTTCATTTATATTAATAGGTCCAGAGCAACTTGTGGATATGACAGTGATAGGTATCGAAGGGGGACATTTTTTGTGACCTAAGTGTCCCAAATTCCTACTTGTCGATGTAACTCTGATAAATAATAATTATCTTTGTTATCATTTACTGTTATGTATTAAATGATACATCCAAGTAAAAGTAATTTCCACAAAATTGACAACAAGATATTTTGGACATTGTTTGTGAGCAATTTTATAAACATGATTTAGCTTCAGTTGTTTTAATCTGTCTTCAACATTCAACATATCCAACTGCTGTAATTCATCCTGGCCTACATGTTCTCTTGGGCCCAGCCCCAGGATGAATCTTACGATTTTGTTCTGGGGATTTGCAGTCTATCTTTCAGTTTTTGTAAAGGGCAGGCATGAAGAGCAAGCGTAACCATATGGATTTAAAAGGGGCTAGAAAGGGTCCTCAGCCTCAAGGTGACACTGGCTTGTCTATACAGGAACTTCAGTCTGGCTTTCGCTTTCTTTATACACTTTTCCCATCAATTCTCCTGAAATGCATGGTCAAAGGGATTCCCAATATTTTACAAATGAAACCAAAGTGAGGGGCCCCCCTTACACTGACTTTAAAATTATTTACCCCCCAGTTTATTTTCGTCCAAAAGAGAAGGGCTTCATTTTTCCCTGGGTGTAATGAATTTGTTGTCTACTAACCTTTGCTGCGGGACTCCATTTTCCAGTGTTAAAAATTGCAAATCTTGGGGGTCTTTACCACACAACGGCCTGTCATTGCAACAGTAGGAGTTTGCACTTGACATGTAGTAATATTGACATAACAAAAAAAAAAGGGACCCAGAAATACATTGGGGGAACTCCAATGTTATGGGCGGGGGTTTCTGATTCTGTTTTTTTTGATTTTGACTATTTGTCTCCATTTTCAAAGGGTAGGACTTAAACCAGTCTACGAACCTAACCGAAGCTTGAATTTCTTTAATAATTATTGTGGTTGACAGTATCGAAGGCCTTTTGAAGGTTAAGGCACCAACCTATGAGGTTCCCCCTTGCATTTCAGTTCTATAACCCATCAGATAATTGGGGAGGGTGCGGTTGAGTAGGTCTTTTTAAAGCCGAGTGATAGCAAAGGAAAATGTTGTTGTCATTAAGGTACTTAACTTTAAAGAGTACACCGCCCCTCTCTAGAATTTTAGGTTTTCGGTTACAAACAGGCCTATATTGCTGACCAGCAACATGGGCCAAAAAAAATCGGGCCTCCTTAAACCCCCCCCCCGGTACTTTATTAGTGGTGTTTGATTGATTTTTTATTGAGCAACGGGGGTTTGCAGTTCAGAAGCACCATCTTTTAGGAACTTAGACGGGATGTTACGGGCCTGTGCTCTTAGTTGGTTTAACCTGTTTTCTTTTTGAATAAAAGTCATGAGTACACTTACTAGTTGACAACTGTTTGGGGTTCTCCTTTTTGTAAGTTTTTTTTTAAATTATAAAGTCGTTTTAAAAGGGTAATTGATCACTGGTATTTACTTTATGTTGAGCAACAGATGTGTAGTAGGAATTAAAAAATTTGCCACCTTAGATTTTTCGGGAACCTCATTATGATAGTGAGTACTATTTAACTATCACTGGCTTGTGGCATACCCCAATTTTTTATTTGTTGCCAGAGTTTCTGGGTTATGTTTATACTCTTCAATTTTGAGCAATATGCTTTCCCTTTTGCTCCTTTTATAGTCCCTTACTCTTTTTCCTCACCCTTTGGAATTCATTTAGGCTCAAACCGTCTTTTTTCTTTAAAAATTTTTTTCCTGGTCTCTGAATTTCAAATTATTAATACCGTATCATCCGGGTTTTCAGTTTTCGTTTTAATTAACCTCTTTAACTGTGCAATTTTATCAAGGGGTAGTGAACTTTGTTTAAATTTTTTCCCGGTATCGTTACGTCGTGAAAATTGTTATCTCGTCCATCACAATTGTGTAGCCTATTTACCGTTTTTTCTTTACTGAAATTTCTATTTTGCCTATTTTTTTTGCCTTGTAGGCCTATCCTACCCTATGATATTCCGGGTGCGTAAATGATAAAATGACCCAAGACCTGGGGTAAGACGCCTGCTGACTAATGTTCCAGCGCGGTACAAGATGGGGCCCAATTAGGGGCTGAAAACTGGTGAACTTTACATATTTTCCCCTGTTTTTAAAGAACTGAACTTCCCAATACTCCCCCTGTTCAGCAGTACTCCCCCTTTCACCGGTATCCCCCCGTTCCCAGTTCCACCGTGTTTCACCAGTCTCACTGTTTTTCCCAAACCCACCTGTTCACCAGTATCGGGGGCCCTATTCCCATTTTCACCTGTTCCCAGTACTCTCCTGTTCACCATACTCACCCTCTTCCCCAATACTCACTCACCCATTAACCAGTACTCACCTTTTCACTACACATGAAAATGACCCCCATGAAAGAAAAAACTGGGCAAGATGCAACTTTCCCCCCGTGAAAAGCGGGGCGCCAAGTACACTAAAGGGGACAACATAAAAGTGCCCGGGGGCCCCAAGACGTTCTTTGCCTCCCAGCATAAGGGGGTTACCAATTACCCCGGGCTGTATTCAAGAAGGCACAGGACAGGCGCCTAAAGTCATTCCCCCGACCAACCGGGCTGGGTTCGTACTCAGCTTGCGGGGCCCCAGCGTAACACCCTGGATGATAAACCCTGACCCCACGAGGTCGGTCTCAGAACGAACCGCGGGGCGTTGACCCCCGAAAACCCTCCAGGAATATAATATATAATAAAATAATATTAATATATTATAAATATATAATAATATATAATATATAAAATATAAACGAAATTAGGGTTGAAAAACTGGAGTATTAAATGTTTCTCTCCCTTTAGATAATTTTGTTGTGTCAAGTAAAAGCTCCCGAAATTTTTAAATATTTATTAAAATTAACCACTGGAATTCCCGAAAGGGGGCCCCCCCCATCCCAGACGTCTCCCAAAACATTATTTACCCAAAATTAAATATGAGGCAATTCATTTAATAGCTTATCCACTGACAGTGAGGTATCCAATTGAAGAGATAAATCTGAGGAGTATTCCCAGCCAATGATACCCATCCCGTTGGTGAATTGTTATACATACACTTTTTTTTTTATAAATTATATAAGTAATAATTTAACACATTAACACGTGAAAATTTTTCCATTATTATACAAGCTTCTTAGGTGAGATAACGCAACACATGCTCCCAAAACAACATTATACTTAAATACATATATTAATAATATA